TTCATATAAGAGCTTTTAACAGTAAAGTGACTTAAATTATTCAGAATCTTAAGCCTAGTTTATTCAAAACTTGCTTAAAAAGCAAAACTCTCTTAGTAGTTGGGGATGTATGTTACCTGACAGTAGCTGTACCTTGTCTACCAATTAAAAAAATTTACTCTTTGGAATTATAGTAAATTGCTATGTCTTTCGGTTTCTTTCTCTCTTGCCAAAGTAAAGATTAAGGTGTGTAGAAAAGAGGTTCCAGCAAAGGAAAGAACCTTAGTTGTCAGATTCCACAATTATAAGACAGAAAAGTTGGGAGGAATAATGTGTTTGCAGAACAGTCTCATATGACCCTATTTGCACAAACCAAAGGATACAGACCTTTGCCTTGCAACCAATTCCTTATAAAAATGATTATGATAATAGTAATAAAATAAAATGCTATTTCTGCTTAACTGGTAGGGAATAGAAAAATTAATTGGCTCTGTGACTTCTTGTGAGGCTGATAAGAATCAGAGTAAGAAATGTAATCACATGAAACCATTTCATTTTAAGTGCTAAATAATTATTCAAAGCAAATCCTCATGAGTTGGAATTCATGAACTTCTATTCTAGAACAGAATAGTTAGTTACTCTGGGATCAGCAAAGGAGAGGTCAAAAAATACAAGAAACAGGAAGATTTTTTCTGAAGATTGCTTCATGCTATACAACAAAAAGCATTTCATGTTTCCCTGGGGAGAGAATACTGACTGAAAATATTAAAGAAGGCAATGTCCAGCAAAGGGACTAGTCAGTTTTTTGCAGTCTGGTCAAAATGATTACAAAAGTATAATCACTTCATTCCATTTGTCAGCTTCAGGAGAAGAGGGCAATAAATGTATAGAGTAGGCAGTCTTCTGAAATGTAACTCCTCTGCAGTTTTTGTCCATGTATTTCAAGCCCTGGGTTGCTGGGAGATAAATTATTGGCTAAAACTAAAGTTTTATGGGGAGGTTGTGGCTTTTTGTGGTGGGTTTTCTGTGGTGTGGTTGGGTTTTGGTATGTTTTTGGTTTTGGGTTGTTCTTGGTATTTTTTTTTAATGCAAAGCTTTGCTTATTTTAGAGGATGGGAGGGAGGCAATTTTGAGCAGAGCCTTGCTGTTTCTAGAAGGAATATAGTGTTATGAGCTTTTGCTAGAGTTTTGACATTTTTATTTCTTGAACATTCTTTCTATATGGCGTGGGTCTGGAAAGCACTTAAGTTTCTTTCGGATCTGCTTTGGGCTATGTCAGGTCTTGGCACTGCATTAGAGCCTAATCGGATTCTGTTACCTGCAACATGGTTTGTCCTGCTGGGAAAGCAAGCTGTGTGTAATCTCGCTGTATTGGAGGTGAAATGAAGAAGGGTGAGGAAATAACTGAAGGATTCTGACAAGACAGGGCGCTAGCTAAGAAATCGTGAGGCTGATAGCTAGGGAGAGGATATTTGGGAGTTGAATTTATAGGAAGAGGCTGGGATACATAAGGAGCTTAAGAATTACTGGGGCTCAGAGAAGGACAAGTAGATTTGATGAGGGCCTGCAGTGGGACAATCTAGATTAGCTGGGAATGGGGAAGAAATAATTTCTTTCTCCTTCCCTGGTTTTCTAAGACCTTTGAGATTTTTTCCCCCCCTGTCCATTCTAAGACATTTGAGACATCTCTGGTGCAAAATATAGCGTGATACAGAGGCTGAAGCAAATCAACCTATGCTGGAAGCAGTAGCACTGCCGTAGGTAGTATATCTGCTTGACATTGAGTAAAGAAACAAGTTGGTGCTATGGGAAAGTTTGCACTCCTTCCACATCTTTAGTGTCTTGAAAAGGACTAAAATGGCTCTAACGTACAATGAAAAACATAATCCAAATGTCTTGCCTCTTCCCTCCTATTCCAAGGTCTAGGAAGGAAATAATTTGAGATACTAATCATTGGTATTCAGTACTTACTGACTTGAATTTATTCTTGGAGACTGGAACTAAGATATTATATAACTTCTGTAGTATAGGTCATCTCCATTTGAATAGTTTCAAGTGCAAGAGTTTATCAGTGAGCAATGATCAATTAAGTGTTACAACTAGCCTATTTAACAAGTCTGTTAATTTGATATCTGAAGTGTCTTCTATTTGGAAAAAAACAGACAACTTTCAATATGTAGAAGCTGTGGGATTGTCAGATTCTTTATGGAGTACTGGGATATGTTTACATGAAATGATCACTGGGAAACTGATCTGCTTTCATCTAGTTCAGTGACCTCAAAAACCCTTAATCGGCTTAGATCTTCAGCTGGTATTTCATTTAAAGACAGCTTCAGCAAATATTGTTCAGGGGTGAAAGGGAATCAGAACACCGCTCTTACAAGATATATGGAAAATTTTTGGTTTTGTTTTTATAATAGAAAAACTAAAGACAAAGCAGGAGGATAAGGCACTACTGTCTTTGAGACACTTTCATCTTATTTTTGGCTGATTCACTGTCGCTTGGTGACGCTCTAGTCTCTTGAAGATCTTGTGCTGTATCTTCTTATTTCCATTTAAGAAAACAATTCTATGACCATTTTAAATCATCATAAATACCAGTTTCCTATTGTGAAACTAAGTTTTAGATTTTTACTTCAAACTACTCTGTATTCACTTTATATTAAAGAGAAAAAAAACAAATATATTTTAGTATTACTGTGTTCAGTCTCTATATAGGACATGAATTTCAGAGCAAGATTTTAGTTTGTAGCTTTGGGGTTTTGTTTCTTTATTGGCAAGTGCTGGGGAAACAAACTGTTGTTATTGACAGTGTTTAGAGGTTTGATGAAAGGGAAAGCATTATGCAGTATTGAGGTCAGCTACAATAACCGTGAAATCAGATGTGGGATTTGCAGCTCTGTAATGCCAGCTTAAATTCATACTACATCTGCATCTCGTAGAAATATTCACGTTTTTCTCATTTTGAAAGCAAATAGAATACTATCAGGTAATAGTTGGTAAAACAGTGTTTGAAAATCAAGGTGGTTATGCATTTGGCCATAAAAGGCTGGAAGAATATGGTAATGAAATATGTGATCAGCAACAGGAATCAGAGCACCCACAAGACTGTAAAACTGTGCAGGAGATGTCTGTACGTGATCTGTTCTATTATTCTGATATGAAATGAGGTCTTCCTTTCTCTTCTATGTTTGTTTTTTTAAACACAGACTTCTGAGTTGAACTAAAAAGTATAACATTTGGAATCCGAATAGCTTGGTTTCCACTGGTAAAAACACCTAAATGTTTTTGTATTTGCATAAGTAGTCCCAGTAAGTTAAAAATTACTACTGTCTTAAACGTATGCACATGCATTAGCATTCTGTAGGATAGGATGCTGACTGTGTACAGTGGATAAAAGAGGAAAATAAGTTTAAATAGGAAAAATGTCTAGAATTAATTTTTATTTTGCCTAAAATTTTATGTTTATTCAAGGTTAGTAAAGGTATTTTTTTCTTTACAGTGCTCTTCCTCATAACTCTTAGTGCTTGCATTTGGTGTTCCCCTGGTACAAAGTGTGTCCCATTCAGAATCTTACTGTGTTTTATGCAAGCTAAAATTAATATTATTTATATTGCTCTAAAACCTTGAAATACATCTGTCACTGGTAGAAAGAAAATGCATGCCGGTGGATGTAGTGCTATATAATTGACATCTTGAATCAATGTGGTATGAGGATAGCTGTGTTTCTTAACAGGATTTTTGTAAAGGTTAGTACTAGTTCTGACAGTATCCAACATTTTTATCCATGGTCTGGAAATTTATACATCACTAAGAGGACAGCTTGACACAAAGAACAGTGAAATGGAACTAGCTGTTCTGCCTTAGTTTTTAATTATTTAGTTTTCTCCAGTAAATGTGTTAATTCAGGAGGATTCAGAAAATAAGATCATATTTTTTAAATATTTGCAAAGCTGCATAATGATTTGACATGACTTCTGACTGATTTCTCTGGGCTAGAAAAAGAACTTGGTAACTCTGCCTCAGCCTGGAGGAAGTCCTTCAGGTGGCTGGGGGGGAGATTTGCTTTGGTTTTACTTTTAACAAAGAAAATCAAAATAATTAGTCACTTAAAATACCTTAGACAACTCCCTCTAATCAAAAAGATACTTTACTTGAGGAATTTATTTAAAACGTTCAGGAAATCACCTCACAATAAACTCTTATCTTTGCCTTTTGGGTATTTCAGGGCCGTTCTAGACATGTAGTTGGCAGTAAGATTGGCATTAAGCATCTGTCCTCTCTAATACTTCTGCAGAATGCTCTTTGACCAAACTCTAAAGGAATACTAACACTTCTCTGGAATAATATGCAATCATCTATTTTATGGGGAGATTAAATATAAAAAAGTCGCTTCATAAGTACATTATGGCTTTGTTTCATAAGTAAACTAGTTTTTTATATTGTTTTAATATTTGAAAGAGCTCTGTAAAGTGCATTTTGTTGCGTGCTGTGTGTTCTAGAATTGGTGACGTGGGTTTCATCTCCTAATATTGAGTCCATATGCACTTGCCTTACCTGTAATTCGGATATCTCTCTAGAGTATCAACGGATCCTCATGCAGAATCCTCATGGATTATACCTAAAAATTCTGCCAGATTAATTTTATTTGTTCTTACACCTAACATTGAATACCTGTAGATAGCTTAGCTTAAAATTCTGGAGCAAAACCAATAAAGTTTCAGAAAGGGGTTTGCATCTGGAATTGATTCTACCTTCTAACTTTTCTGCTTCTGAAAACTAGAAAAGAAAAAAAAAAATACTCCTGGATTTACCCTGAACAGGATTTGGAGTCCTAAAATGAAAATGTCTGTGGCTTGAAGGAGGAAAAAAAAGTGCATATATTTTGTTCAATTTTCTTGTTTTCCAAATTATGATACAAAGAACTTTCATTATTTGCTTCTGTTTTCTTACCAGAAGATACTAGAGGGGCAGAGGGAGAGAAAGAGAGAGACTATGGCAAAGTCTGGTATAATACGCTCAGTATTTGCCATGGTTCATCAAATATCATGCTTTCCCTTGAAGCATTAGGTACTATTAAGCCACTGCTTCTAGGTGTTATTTCACTACCATGCTGTACTGTCATGCATATCTGGTGTTTGTTTATGGTTTCGTTACATTATTGCATTCTGCCACAAAATATAGATAGGGGTGTGAGTTTTTCAGTGTGTGCTGCATTTCTTAAAAAAAACAAACAAAAAAACCCCAAAACGCACATTAGAATACTGCTATTCTTTGAGTTTCTGGGAATTTGGGATTAGGTTTAAAGAGCTTTTTATTTGTTCATTCCAAAAGTTTGCCTATTTAGATTTTTCGTGTCTTTCAGTCTTTCTGTTATTTCACTGTGTGTGGATGGAAAGTGTCAGCAGAGATGTTTTCTCCAGTCAGAGTACACCTACTTTAATGGTTAGGTGCACAGCAACAGAAATAAGATGTTTGAGGCATGGATGTAGGCCGTAGATGTTAGCTGCCAGCATCCATGTGCAGTCCCCTGGTAATAGCTGTCTGCGGGATCTGTAGCTAAGAATATTGTACACCTGGAGTTGTGATAGGCTTATCTTGTGCATCTAGGTCATGTTCAACATCCTACCTCTCACCCCTTCTCTCACTCTTGCAGTGCTGCTTATTAATGGATTAGAGATTATGCGGCTTTTTTACCCAGTATTGTTTTTATGTACTGCAGTATCAGATGCTGTATCGGTTGAAGTAGTTATATACATGGAGATAATATTCTTGTTATAGCAAACTAACATGTAATATAGAATGTGTTTGCTACAATCATATCTTCCATTCATATTTCTCTAAATACTTAATTTTGTGGTTTGCATTGTTTTAGGTTTTGTTGTTTCTGTCAGACCCTTCAGAAAACTGTTACAGTTTTTAAAGATTTTCTGCTATGTATATGTTCCCATTGGGACCTTAAGATTTTTTTTTTTTGCTCTGAAGACCTTTTTGTTTGCTGAAATGCTTTTGTGTTAAAATGATCTGTTATCCAACTTCCCTCGTAAAAAATGTATTGTCTGTAAAATTTGTATTTTACAGCTTTAGTATGTTCTGCTTATCCAATGTAAAGAAAATACTTACGGCTTTTCAGTTTGAAAAACTTCTTTGTTGCTTTTGGATATTGAAGGCTTATTCACACTTTAAAGTTCCCTTTCTAAAACATTGTGGCTAAGTATTTTTTACTAATCTAGTAACTTGAAAGCTTTTCCAGAGTAGCCTGCCTGCAATATGACACTACCAAAATTGTAGCTTTTAATTTTCTTAATACATTTCCTTGCACTGCTAGCTCAAAACTGCTATGCTTACTCCACTTTTAAAGAATGGGTAAGAATATTCTACTCTTAAAGTACTTGGGATTGAAGAGGCATATCAATATAATAAATTTTATACTACTTATACCAAATAAACTATCAAAAAATGAAGGTTTTCAATGAAAGATTGAACTTTTGAATCAATTATAGATTAAAAATGTATCTGGCTGAAACCTAAAACTTTGCTATTCTGATAAATTGCTGTTCTTCGCATTCTGGATAAGATAGCTTAGAACAAAACTAAAAGATTTCTTTAATGAGTGATTTAGGAAATAATCTGCCCAGGCAGAATTTTGTTGAAATGCAAACTGGTCTGAAGCAGACTTTGAAAAGTACTCTTTCCTCCCCTCCCCCAATACATTTACTTTTTTGGTAGTTTTATTTATTTTTATGTTGGTGTCTCTTACTAGAGAGATACTTGCTTTGGGGTATCCTGTCATCGTTTAAAGATAAATTGCTGTTTTCATAGTGGCAGAACTGAGGTCAAGTAATTTTAAATTTAATTAAATCTGGAGAATTTTTAATCACATCTGTAATCAGGCATCAAAATGAGAGCTTGTAAATGAAATCCAAACTAGTAGTCTGTTTGCCTTTCCTTGTTAGTGTAACTCAACTGAGACTTGAATAATGGTTAAAGCAAGTTTTGCTTTATCCTTACACAACTGAGAGAGGATGCAAAGCTTCCTGTTCCAGAATGGCGTAAATATTTTGGTAAAGGGCATGTAGTTAGACAATGTAAAATATGCACTTAAAATAATTTGCAGTATCTAACAGCATTTACACTGAGCTACATCTTTGGTAGGGGAGTGCTTTAGCATGAACAAGCTTCTAAAAAGATGTCGTCTTCAAACTTTAATTCACATTTCTTAGAGGGGACTGGATAACTTGAATGTACTCTGTGTACTGCCTTTCCCTGAGTTCTTAAAATAATTCTGTGTATATTAAATTAATTTGCATTAAATCTATAGGGATGCTTCATTTGGGAACTGCACGTACAATCTTACGATCTTGGACTGTTTACAGGGAATAAATAAGGTAATAACACTTTTCCTTAGCAAAACATTTAAATGGACTTTTACACCATGAAGGAAAATACTGTTAAAATACGTTAGAAAATCTGGTTTCAAAGCAAAATGTGTGTGAATGAGTAGTATGCTGTCATGAAGCCTAAGTTACTGAGGACTGTATTTGAGTAGTGAGAGAAGAAGATTACACTTTTGCCTGGCTGGCCTGGCCTTTGACAGCTTTCTGAACCTCACCTTATGAATCAGAATGTGCAAACGCACCAGGCCTGGCTGGGGGCTCTTCTTAACGCAGCCGTGCGAGGCAGTGCACTAGATCTGCTAATAGGGCATTTGTAACCACTGGTAAAAGGGAATAGCATGGGTTGATAAAGTCAAGTGGGACAGACACCTAGGTATTCTGTGATTTGATCTGAGCAGTTTTTGCGCATGCTTGGCCCCAAATTCCCCCAAAACACTTGGTTCAGTGTTTGACACTAATCTTTTTCAGAACTGTTTAAAAAGAATGAAAACTAATGTACTTACTGTTGTTTTGACGTGTCGCTTTCAACAGTCCTGGTTCTGGGGAATATTAAGCTCCAATATTGCTTTTTAAAAAGCATCTTAATTTAGAACCTTATGCTATACTATATACTTCATATGATAAGCAAAGATTAAATTTTGTTCGTCATTTCCCAGTGAACTCAATGAAGGGAGCAATGTATATGAACAGTTCTGTACAGACATTTTATAGACTATTTGTAATTCTTCAAAGTATGGCAAAACAAATGTTTCTTATAAATTGGTAAAAGAGAGCTTAATATTTTTAGTTCTGTGGGGGTGGGAAAGGAGCTGTCAGTTAACAGCAAGACTAATTCGTGGCATTCTCCAGATCCTGAAGCTCTGTGAAGCAGTCAGTGCAGTCACTGTAATTTATCTGCAACAAACACATCAAAAGGACTTTGAGAATCAGTTTTTCCTCCTTTGTTCCCATAAAACTTATTACTGAATCTTTGTCCAGTTCACCTACAGAGATAAAAACGCTTTGAGCAGAAACTGTATGCTTTAATCTAAAGTAAAATCTTAGTCTATCTGGGTAATTTTGATGTTCGCATGCACATATATTGTATATGTGTAATTCAGGGGGTCTACAAATTCTGGAGTGCAGACAGCCAATGATGCTTAAATGAAATACATTTTTCAAATGTAAACGTTCAGACAAATCCCTCAGTATCTTAGGTTTCATGACAGGTCCAGTTGTTGAGTCTGTGTTGCCTATAACAAAGATATTTTTGTTTTGCTTTTAAAAAGGTGCTCTGTATGTAGCAAATAAGCACAGACTGATTATTTTTTAAATCATAGATCTGTGGTGTGCTTTTTTTATCACACCTTAATCCCAGAATGTTGTGTAATATCTATACTTCTCAGAACGCATTAGGTTCAGAACTGTCTTCCACGTATTTCTTGGAAGAAATTTGGGCTATGAATTCCTTATTCATAGAATTGTTTTTAATATGGTATTATGCACAGATCTTGAGTACAAAATTGGCATATTTAATTATAGTACAGTATTCAAATACAAAATGTCTTTCAATCTTGTAATAAATACTAATGTATTCTAGTGAACTTCATTCTATCAGTGGAACGTGTATTAAAAACAAATCATAAAATACAGGTTATACACAGTACTGTGTTCTGTACATGCCATTTTGCCAGGGTATCATAGTGATAAAATCAGAGTATCATATTAAGTATAGAAAATCAATAAACTCTTAATGTTCTAGGTTTTTTTATGTTGAACGGCATGAGAATGTATTCAACTTAGAAATCATTGAATGAGTGTATGACAAAAAGGGAATTGCGTTTTAATTTGACATCTGCCTTACAGAAAAACCAAACTGTACATAGTGGGGTTGGGAGAATCAATTTTGTGATTTAAGTGATATGCAACAACCTTATGTCCCATCGTAATGTCTTTGAATGGGAAACGACGAGTCTGACATGCTTTAGCAACATCGTTGGAGTTTTTGTTGTCTGTGGTGTTAATCTGTGCAAAATGTAACGTCTTAACATAGAAGCTTCAATAAGCTAAAAGCACAAACATACAGTGATTTAGTTTTGATTCTCAAAAACAGTATTATAAAATGAGATTATATATCGTATTTCAGAATAAACTGACACCTTGTTGCCTTTTAGGCCTTGCAGCATGGATTTTTTGACTTTAAGACATTTGATGTGGATGAATATGAACACTATGAGGTTTGTACGCTTAATAGTGAGTTGAATGTGTTTGGTTTATGTAAAATAAGTTAGAATATACAGTATCCCACAACTTAAAACATACTGGAAACACATTTTAATTCAAGTAAAACCCAGTGTTCATATGTAAGGTATGCACATACAAACCTGTATATGAAAACATGCAGGATAAATATCCTTGCAATTGTACTGGACCTGGTCTTTGGAACTGCCTGAAGTTCCTGCAGTTGCATTGGTTAAGGAGAAAGATTTGTAGACTAGAGGTGTACTAAACATTTGAACATATATTAAATTCTAAAAAGAGAGTTATGCTGCTTTATTGTAGCCAGTATTCTTCCCCCCAGCCCCTCTATTGCAATTTTCTCATTATCTCCAAGTTTTCTGAATAAATTTGCTTAGTCTGAAAATGTCTATTTTAAAATTTATTATCTTAAGTTGAATATTTCTAATATCAAGCAAGTTTTAGGAATAACTGCTTTTCTCAAATCTTTAACATTTGATAAATAAGTGCTTTGTTTTACAAGCAGGAAGATATGGGTGATTCAGTATATATCTGAAATACAGCTACAGGAAACGTTTCATAAATGTTCAAGAAAGAGGGTGAAGTCAGGAGACAAACAGTGGAAAAAACTTAATTTACAACACAAATCTGCAATAGGCACACTACAACATATAGATATTCACAAAACTTAAAAGCATTTATAAAAGGATTTCAGTATAGTCTAATGTTCTGTAATGATTAGATTGAGAAAATGGTATAGCTTTTGCTGAATTACCGAAATTAAATGAAGAGTAACTAAAATTTGAAGTATGAAATTGCTGCGGTTTTGCTTACTCGATGTACAGAAGGAAAATGTTTGTTCTAAAAAACAAATGATGGCTGGGAATTCTGGGAATTAGGAATAGGTGTTAATCTGACTGAAAAAGTATTAAAATAATTGATTAAAGCTATCCGATTATCTTGTTTAATGCTTAACATTATTTTAGTTTGTGAAAAGTATGTATGTGTGAGTGATGTTTAAAGTATGCTGCCCGCTGTCTGAGTTTAAGAAGCAAGAACTTGGAATCATCTTTAATTTTTCATCCATTTGTGGTATGTCTTCTCTTATTTTACACATTGTGGTCAGCTTTGTATGTCTAGATATGTCCTGTGCTGTATTTCTAAAACTTTAAATGTTCCAAGTTTTTGCTATGTTAAGTCTTCAAATGTGTAGTTATGTGGAGAAAGTTGCATAAGACTTAAAGGGAGCAGGCTAAAGGAAATTCTATTTCATGTTTATAGTTCTTTCATCATAATCACATTGTCAAGGCAGCTAATTCCCCTTTTGTTGGACTAGATGTAAAATACTCAAGTTATCTTTTTTAAGTTATTTGCATGTACTGTTGAGTGTATATATACACACATATACATATATCTTTGTCATTCAGATTGGTTAAAATTTAAAATATTCACAGCAACCCATATTTAACTATATAAAGAACTACTTAATTCACAAATAAAACTGCTAATACAAATATAAAATTACTCTTAAATTATTGAACAGGGCTTCTCCATTAAAGGGGGTAGAGGTGCTACAATGTTGAGATTGCAGTCTGTGATACAGATTTGGAGGGGCGAGGGGTCCTGACTTGGTAGTAAGTTGCATAAGAACTAGTTAATTTACAGGAGTTTTCACTGGGTGAAGACATTTGGACCAAGCCTGATGGGCTCAGCTAAGCAAACAGTTGGTGAATCTATTACAGTAGCATCCATTATCAGAATTTTTCACTCATTGGGATGTTTTGATTTGCTGAGAGCTAAAAACAGAAGCTTAATAATGCAGTTGAACTGAGTGCCATGTCCTTAAAAGTCATGCTGAGAATAACTGCATTGCCAAACAAGGAATTGAGTGCTCTTCCATTTAAAAAAAAAAAAAAAGTGGCAGTTTTGAACTTTAGTTGCGAGCAAGAAATGCAAAACTTCAATTTGAAAGCATTTTTCCATTTAGTCTTTTTATTTAATTTATACTTTCCTTCTATGATTAGTGACTCATCAGAGCTGAGGCCAATATGTAAATTTCAGTTTCTATAGGGAAAGGCTAATTGTTTTTGAAGGCTAATTGGTGTTTAATTTGTTTTCTGTGAATTGGGTTTTTTAGCCAGTGCCTTACAGGGAAGCATTTTTCCATATTCTTTGATTAAAACATACAACAATGTTGATGTTTGTCAGTGTTATAAGTAGGTGACTTAAAACACTGAACCTTCCAAGGGTTGGATATGAAATCTTTCTGCTTGTATTGGAAAACTTCAGCAGATTTTTTTGTGTTTCATTTTATTAAGAGATTTCTGAGAAGCAGCTTATAGTTAGTTAGTTTCTGCCATATAGGTAAGCTAGCTAACTACATTTGAGGTGTTTTAATGCAGCAAGACCATGGTAAGAAGTACAATAAAATCTTGAGTAATTTTTTTAACCTTGTATGTGCCGATATAAAATGCTTGTTCTCTTCTGAAATTTTTATAGCGAGTGGAAAATGGTGATTTCAACTGGATTGTTCCAGGAAAATTTTTGGCATTTAGTGGACCACACCCAAAAAGCAAATTTGAAAATGGTATGGTGTACACTTTAAAGTTATTCTACAATCTTATTTTTTCCAGCATGTTAAACAGTCACAGCAAATGGGCAGAAGATAATAGAGGATTATAGATTAATTTTCATCTTCAGAAATAATCATACAGTGAACACTTTATATATGATCATAGAACTTAATTCCAAAGCTTTTGGAATTCTTCTTTGCTACAAATAGTATATCATTCAAAAAAAGTTTTGGGGACAAATTTTATTAGTAGGACTTTGTACTTCATTTATGACATTAAATGATTGTTGCTTTATTTTATAGGTTATCCTCTTCATGCACCTGAAGCTTACTTTCCCTATTTCAAGAAACATAATGTCACATCAATCATAAGACTGAACAAAAAAATTTATGAGGCAAAACGCTTTACTGATGCTGGTTTTGAGCATTATGACCTGTTCTTCATAGATGGAAGCACACCAAGCGACAGTATAGTTCAGAGGTTCCTGAACATCTGTGAAAATGCTGATGGTGCTATTGCTGTACATTGTAAAGGTATGAGCACTTATTTACATAAGTATAAATACATAAAGCTTATTCCAGAAATAAAGCATTTTAAAAAGTAACACTTTCTTGTTGTGTTAATATTAATAATATAATATTGCTTCATGATACTTGAGTAAGTATATGAGAAATATTTGTTATTTTCATGTGCATATTAAGTTCTTTCATCCTACACTACTACTTACTGTAACTGAAAATCTGTTGTTCATTGTTCTGTTTTTTTCTTAATATCACTTGAAGGCGTGAGTTTTAGTTGATGGAGGTTTCTCTTTTGCATTATGCTTGCACAGTGTTATGATAATTGGCTAGGAAATGCAAAAGACTGAAAGGTTTTCTCTGTACTTTTAGATTGTTCTACATTTTTCTGTGAGCATGACTTCCACATTTCAAGTTAATGTGAGTTATTGTGATGTCAGCATTTCAAGCCAGCCTATTTCAGCAAATCAGCCAGAAAATACACAAAGCATGCTTAGTCAAGAATGATTAACAAAGGCTTTGAAGGGTTTGGCTTGACTTATGTTTAGAGTTGTGTAAGGACATTGTGGAGATGAATGTCTTGCTGATCTGAAACAAGAATAGTGCTATTCATTCATAATTTTTCCATGGACAATAAACATGCATATCAAAGATAAATAATTTTATTTGTTAACATGTTGTTACTGTGGCCAGAACCCAGAAATTCTGGCATTAATAAGCTGGACATCTGCTAACTGACTAAATGAGAGTATAAATTATTGATTAGTAGGAGTAGATTGTTATTCTCCAGGCTTAGTTGCTAAAAGAATAAAATATACTTTCCTAGTGACTTAGATATGTACTTGCTAAACTGAAATATTTTTGATCTTTCATTTGACCATTTCATAAGCAAACCAACTTTGCTTCATTATTTTCAGGTTTTTTACACCCTTTTAAATAAGCCTGTTCAAAGTTAAATCGACAGTTAACTCGGAGTTAATGTATTGTCTATTGTTTTCTTGTACTCTTATTGCAGAAGTATTCCAAGCACAGCTTCCACACTATATATTGCTTGTCCCAGAAGTTACAGAATGGTTTAATGCAAAGGGTTGCTATGGAAAAATTTGTACATTAGCAGGAACTTAAAAGAACTGAAGTCTTAGTGATATATGCAGTTGGTAGGTGTTACCTGCAGTTTTCAGAGACAAAGACATTTTCTTATTCAGGTGTATGTTTAGTGTAGTACAGCTCTGGGTTATCTATTTGGATGTTGCATTCCTTTTGCATTAAAAAAAAACACTAAAAACCAACAACCACAAAACAACCAAACCAAAACCCCAAACTCTCTCTAACAATACTTCCCCTTTTGAATGATTCTTCAGTTATTCTTCCAGTATACAGTGATGGAGTCTCGCTATTTGTTTTTATTTATATATTATTTACCTTCATACTTTTACCTGAATCATATTAACTCCCCAAAAAGTTACAGCAAGATTTAGTTATTGGTTAAATGTAAAGAGCTTGTAGTTGTATATAAAATTGCCAGAAAGGATGTCTGTCTGCTTAGAGGGCTTCCATTTAGACAGTTGTTGGTGCATAAACAATAGCTGGCCACCATGAGACTGTAAATTGCAAATATTGTATTTGCAGGAAAACAAGGTTTAAACGCGGAGACACTTTACTAGTAGATAAGACACAGGGCTAGAAAGAGATTAATTCTTACTCTATAGTTAGAGATTTGTCTGATAGCAAAAGCTACTTTTTCTATTTCTCCCCTTAAAACCAGGATTAGTTTGTGATTTGGGGGCACAATAGGTTAAATTATTTTAAGCTATTGATATATAAAATTATATGCTGGCCAACATTCATTGCTGCTTATACAGGTAGCAGTGAATAGTTTTATATATTGGTTTCACAACAAAACTGATACAAAAAGAAAAAGCCACTGGCTGAGAAGACACATGCGGCTATCTGTTCTGATATGCACATGTATTTGATATCAAATACATGCCTGTATTTGAACCTTGATTTGTTAAGTATATGTGTTGGCCTCTCAAAGGTACTTTGATTTTGTTTTTTACTGGTTTTATAAATATGAAGTTTGTATCCAGCTTGGTCATGGCTTTTTTAAAAATACCAGCCTTTTTTTTTTTTTTTAAATTTAACTGTGCAAGTGCCAAGAGTGAACATTGTTGCATGTGTTCTTAAACATTGTTAACTTTTTGTAAGTATGATATATTTATTCTTATATCTACAGCATTGAAATCCAATTATATGATAAATAGGACACTGAATCAGAAATTATTTCTTCAAATATTAAGTTGGTAAATAACATTGCAAAGAAGTCTTCTCATATCCCTTGTTTTAATGTGATAATTATGAAATGCTCATGACTTCATATGTGAGTGTTGATATTTTTGTTTCTGTAGCTGGCCTGGGGAGAACAGGAACATTAATTGCCTGTTACATAATGAAACACTACAAGTTCACACATGCTGAAGCCATTGCTTGGATAAGAATATGTCGACCAGGCTCTATTATAGGACCCCAGCAACACTTCTTGGAAGAGTATGTATACTTTCTTTGCTACTAAGAATCAACTGCTTCTCTACATCCTTACCCATCTTGCACTATTTATAGGATCTACTTTCTGTCTACAGATGTCATTTATTACTGTCTGTTGCAATATATTTAAGGTTAGTTAATTTGGGATTGAGATCAAACTTAGTAGCAATCACTTTCATTGGAGTTCTATGCATTTTGTCACTGTAAGGGACAGAGGGTCTCAAGAGTCTGCATGTTTGTTTCTTGAGGATTTAGGAGTTAGATGAAGGTGTTGGAAGTATAAAGTCCAGATGCGGACAAAAGATTAAATCAACAATAAGGATTTATGTTAAAATATTAACATAGAAGGAATAGGCTTTATATATAGCCTATGATGACATTTAAAATGAATCTTACAATAGTATAATTGATATGTTTTCTCCTTTCTTGTAAGTAAAGATTGAATAAGTATGTGATGGACAGCTTATGATCTCTGTCAGATTCCTAGCGTAATGTATGAAGCGTTTCTGATCTGGAGCTAATAATCATAAGCAAAACAAATACATGGTTTTAATACAGCTCGTTCTCAAAATTGACTGTATACTTTGGGTTGAGAACACTTCATGTAGAGATAATTTGAATGGGTGATTCAAGGTTTGATCCTGACTGGAAATGAATGACAAAATTGCACTGGCTTCAGTGATGCAGATGTTAAGTTTCATTTCACAGTGGTTTCTACATTGTGCATTTGCTATTATAGTGGTTATGCTGATGTTTTTGAATTGCTACCATGATGATATTGGAGGCATTTTCACTGTTATGAGAAAAAAACATTTTGATAAAATCTACCACAAATTGGTCTCTCTTTGGAAAAAAAAAGAGAATGCGACAGCTCTGCTAGATACTGTATAAATACGGTAAAACATGCACGGACCTTGCCTCTTAAAATGCATAGGATATCAGAGAGAAGGAAGGAGTATTACTGTAATTGATAAGAGAAAAATTGAGCATGAGTGAGGATTCCTATTTATTTTCCAGTGCAACTAAATGGGCGCTCCGTTATTTGAGAGGTGACCCGCCATTATTCAAAATAGTGTGAATCTCAAACTTTCACAAACCGTTTCAGGTGCTCACTGAAGGCAGATTAAACTTCTCCACACTGTGCTGATGCTTGGATGATGCACACTTAACAATAACTTCCACAGTAGAGCAAAATTAAGAGAGAAAGGTAGTAGGTAGTGTGATTAGTAAGTGCCGTTTACTTGAAAGATAGGAAAAGCAGGGACCGTATCTTTTCTGAAGTGGTGTATAAATACGTGGTTTGATTTTATAGATAGGCAAAGGTCCTTCAGATTTTTTTAATTCATACCTACATTATTCATAGCGAAGAGCTGTAGTATTGTTCGGTAAGAGTTTTCTGTTGTCCTAATGACAATAGAAACCTCTCTTGACAATTGGACAAAATTCAAGCAATGCCACCAGTAATGTCAAAATGGGATTGAGAAAGAAGGAGCAAACATCGGTTGCATCATTCAAATATAAAATATCTTGCCTTCAGGGCCGCAAATTTGCATCTGACAAAAAGATAAAATCTTGCAACTTGGATCTGCCAGCCTTCATAGATGCCAAAGCTTCATCTCTTGGCTTCTTTGAAGTTTAATAAGAGATGTTTGAGTAGTCTTTTTTTGTAGACGCCCACCCACCCAAGTATGTATCAAATCATTAATGTAATTAATGTAATTAATCTTGAAAGATTTTGCAGGTATTTAAATTTAGGCATGTTTTCTAGGCTATTTCTGTTAGGTGGAGTAAGTGGAACTCCCGCTCCCTCTGCTTCCTCTTTGTCCCTTCTCTTGATGTTTTCTTGGGATACAGTGAAATTTTTCTGGAAGTGCTTATCTTTCCTATTATTCCTGAGCAAGTTTAGACAGTTGGCTCAGACTACTTGGCTCTTAAACTTTGCCATAATATTTTTTTGGCCAACAAAAAAGTTTCCAATGAAAGTATGTTCTTATTTAAGTCTTCATTCTTTTTTTCTTCTGTTCAGTATAGGAATTTAATTTTGTTACAATAATATGTAATGGGATCTCAGTTCCTGAATGGAACTAGCATGACAGGTACCTACCCAGCAAACTTCCTTACTGAGAAATAATGCAGTCTCATCAACAAAAGCCTGATTAGCTCACGTGCATTGTAGCAATTTCTTTTTTACCACCTGTCTGAAGGATATAATCTTTCATTTTCTGAAAATTGATACTAGAGTCCTGTTCAACTTTACATGACTATTGTCACTTCCACTGTGCAGGTCAGCTGTAGTTTTACTGCACAATAGCTATATACACAAAACTGATGCTAATAAGTTGGAAAGTGCTGTATTATCATTTATTCTACACATTATTTATAGAAAAGCGTTATTTTATATAAATTCTTAAGTTGTGTTTTAAAAGCCTTTAAAATACCATTGCAAATTCCTGTTTAGTTAATCTTTTTTTTTTCTAGTAGGATTTTGTAAAATGAAGTTTTAGTTTCTGTAATGTTTCTGTGATGACTACAGACTTATTTGGTGATTCTTGTTTTTTGTTGTTGTTTTCAACCACTGAAAAAGTTCTTTTTTTTTTTTTTTTTTTGTGATAGACATTCAAATTTTTCTTTTCCAGATAAGATGTACAGAAGATTCAAATGTTGGCAATCTGTAAGAGTTTTCATGTTTTCATATTGTTTTTTATGTGTATGCAAATTTATTGATACGAACTGATTTGGTTTTGTATCCTAAAGGAAGCAAGCAATGTTATGGCTGGAGGGAGATCTCATCCAATCAAAGCAGAAACGACGAGTAGTTGATGGAAACATTAACAGAGTTCTTTGTGGCTTGAATGACATTTCAATCAGTGACAGCTTGAATAAAATACAAGACTTGGATCAGTACAGGGAGGTAAGAGTTCTCAGGGAAAAAATTTTAACCAAGCAGAGATGGAGCTGATATTTTAATAACTAGCTATAATTTTTAGCGGTTTTTAGGCTTGCATTAGTACTAGATTGCTTTTTCACAGCTAAACTTTTTTAATAGGTCATAATTAGAACTAATTTCTACTTTTTTAAAAAAGCTTAGGATGTATTTAAAACTTCTATAGGTTAGTTTGCAAACTTTAAAAGGTTTGCATTATTTCAAGTCATTCTTTCAGGATTTTCAGTTGTTTATTGGAAAATGGAGGAAAAAAATTACAAAGTTTTCCTCCTGGAAATCTATTTATTCCAAATTTCTAGCTAATAATGCATGAATGCATAGATGTCCATCCCTTTATCACAGTGTTATTGATTACTGATGTGATGTGTACATTTAGGGTAAGCACCTTATAATCATTTATTAAAGCATGGGCATGAAGTGTGAACTAAAGTGAACATACTTCTGCTTCTGGGCTAGTAAAAATCTTAAACTGTAGCTTCCTAAACTGTAGTTTCATACAGTGTCTGTGAGAAGCCATTTAGAGGAACTATGCACTTGATTAATCCTGTCTTAACTCTGTAATAACTAAAGAGCTTTTACATTGCTGGTGGAATCCTTTACTTGATGTAAAAGACCATGGACGTAGTGTGCACCTTCTTCAGATAGTTGTTAGTATAAATTAAAATAATCATCTATCATGTGATCTATCATAATCTGGAAGAGCACCTTGAATGCATTTCGTAAAGGTACTATTTCTTTTTTGGAAGTTCAGTTTCAAACAGCTGGCACACAGCCATGTAAAAGTAATGAGTTTTGAGTATATATGAGTAAAATATGAGTAAAAGTAATGTTTTTGAATCTGAGCTACTACTACAACTTTACTGCTTCCAGTATTCAAGGCACCTTTGCAAGTAACTCAACTACCTGTAGAGTGTGTAGTAGCCTATGTAGAGATTTACAATATAAATTCACACTGCTGCTTTTTTCTACTGTAGCCCTCTCTGTAATATGTATAGGTCAGTTTTCTACAGATGTCATAATGCTGTTTAACATTCAGTTTTCAAAACGTTTTAACTTATCTCTTCAGATAGTTGGTTATAGTTCAAGACCTCATTATACTAGGCTCTCTAGAAGCTCAAAACAAAGTCATGTTCTCCATCCCAAAAATGCGTAAGTTCTAAGGCTCAGAGGACAGAACAGCTATGTGGGCAGGTAGAGACAGTGAAACTTTATCGGCATTGAGGCTGAATGACAGGGAACAATGCCCTAGCATATAATCTTCAATGAAATCTAGCTAAAATATAAATATTTTCCTATAATTAATGCAACACTTGGACCCTCACATGATTTGATTAACTTCTATCGCATTACTACTTCTGTTAATCTTTCTTCTTGGTTAATAGCAGAAGCTATTGGTCTGTTTTGTGCAGAGCAGTGAAGTCACTTAGGCACAATAGGAACTGCAGTCAAATACAAACAAATACTTGATCTGAGGTCAAATGAAGCATAATTGGTATAAGTCTTTTTCATCTGGCAATTTAAAACAAAAAAAAAATTACAGTTCCCTTCTTGCTTTGTGTAACTTCCATATTTCTCTGCTACTTAATATATTGTCTCTACTTAATACTTGGGTCTTAGAAAAGTCTATTTTGAGATCAGTCAGAAATTATAAATAGGTATTGAAACAGTGTTGGCATACACTTAGTATTTCTTAGAGTTTATAATATTTTCTAAAGCTGGAAGTAGTAGGATAAAACTTTGAAATGTGTTCATCCTATATTCCTTATTAAGTTCTCATAGGGAATTTTTTTTCAAAACTGTATTTTTCTAGAGATGATGAGAACTTTTTATTTAAAAAAAAAAAAAAATCTAGTAATTTAGGAAAGTTGATTTTTGGCTCCTGTTGCCAGACACACAACTCTATCTAAATTCCTTCCTCATCTTCTGCATATCACAAAATTTTGTGTTACTGTTTCCCTTCCACATTGATGGTAAGTTTAAAAGTAGTTAGGAAGGAGTTGAAGTTTAAGTTCTATAAAAACAGACTCCTTTGAAGTAAACACTGGTGTTACTCAAGCATCCTGAACTGACTTTGAGGTCAGATTCTGCAAAAAGGCTCTGTGAATGTGCATTTGTGCTGTGACACATTTAATTTACTGGAACCGTGCAAAGACAGAGTAGTGCCCCATGTATGCAGCAGACTGAAGATTAGTCTTTTAAGATACAATCTTTGTGAAGGAGATGTTCAATACTTTGAAACTATACTACTCCTAAGGATTTGATATGTTTTCTTGCTTGCATACTTTGTGTTTCCTAGAATGATTTTGAAGACAAAACAGGTGTGGAAGCTCAGAATGGCATGACGCAGGGAGATAAGCTTAATGCCTTAAAAGGTCGGAGACGGCCATGTTCTGCTACAACTGGAGCTCTGAGGTAATTAATTAATTCTGAGGTAATTTGCAATTTTAAATTCAGTCTGTGCTATCAGATCTTTATGGCAAGTACATGGCCTTGCTTAAGGTAGTGGTACTAGTTGCATCACCTTCTGTGGTGGAAATTTCTCTAGGTATACATCTATTAGTTCCAGATTTGGTTTATTAATTTCTTTTTTCCTCTGTTTCCCAGTTCAGGATACCTTAATAATGCTTATTATGTAGCAGTAAAAGACAAAGTACAAAAATATTTCAAAACCTTAAAACTTATATCTATCTAGCACTATAAAACTTGTTTCTCAAACAAAGTATTCTTCAATGAACTTAGTTATCTTTCTATAATTACTTTTCTAGACTCCTTATGTAAATTCAGAATTTTTCAGAACCAATAAAAATGTGAAGCTTGAAAATAAACTTTTGAAGTACCTCTCTATTGTTTAACTGTAAATTAAAATAGTGATTGTCAATAATTCTTAACTGTTGTTAGTCTTGTACTTCAAAGCCAGTATGAGACATGCAAGTATGCTTTGGGGGAGGGGAAAGGCTTTTTATTCTTTGATAAAGATTGCTGCTTTGGTTTCTTTAGGCTGCAAGACATGAAACTGCACACGAGGTCAATATCACAACCTTTCAGGTATTAACATTAAAATTATAGTTCTAAATGTATACTACTCAGGTCTTAAATTTTCACTGTTTCAAATTACACTTATCACATCAGTTGATTAGCAATTTCAGAATTCTGAGAAGTGGCAGGTAACAAACTTTTCTAAATACCTGTGAATGGGGGGTGGAACTTCAGGGATATCTTGAATTTTTCCTAATAAACAATTAGCACATACAAGTAACTTCCTCAGTCACATTTTCTAATATCTATGCAGTTATGCTATGAAGGGTGACTAGTTAACTCATAACCACTTTATCTCTGTAAAATTAAATACTTGTTTAGAAAGTCTAAATTGGCTACATATTGCCTGCATATCACAATTTTTGTCATGTGTGTTTCAGTAGATGAACTAGAGGTATTGCTTAGTGGATACAATCAGCCTTTTTTTTGTTTGTTTGTTTGTTTGTTTTAAGAAGCTGTACTGGATAAATATTGAGGTTTAGTACCTTTTCATATTTTAATACAGGGTCTTCATTGTACACTTTACTACAAGCTTTGTTCAGAACCGTGTGGAGCCAGCAATATTTTCTTCTCATTTTTCTAAATGTTTATTTAATTTATGACCTGTACTAATCTCAAATCAGTACTGACAGTGCCCCTCCAAAAGAAAATAAAATGTAGAAAATTGACTTAATTTTGAGAGTTATAGGAATGGCAGGACTGAGTCTTTCGGGTTTTTCTAACCATTGTATCCTTTACCCCACTGCATCTAAAATACAACATGTAAGACAAAATATCTGTCTTTATAAAGCATTAATATTGAAAAGAACTCATTATCTTCAGTTTTGTGACAACCTGGATTTTTGAGATTGATTAGTCCAGATGTCTAACCTTGGAGATGTCCATTTACCCTTTCTTGGTGTGGAATTAAAGATATTTCTGCTCAATGTCATTCCTTCTGTGCTTGTAGCTTGTACCCAAGGTCTTTCGTCCTTTAAGAGCTCATCATGATAATATCCCCTGGTCCAAGGATGGAGAGCATTTCATTCTGCTGTGAGGCGATTCATTTATTAGTTTTTAATAAACTAATATGGACAGCTATAATGCTAACATTTTTGAGTAGTCCAGTGTACCATACTTACAGCTCATTATCAAAATATTAAGAATTTGGTTATTGAGAGTCCCACCCTAGAAAAAAGAGCTGTATGTACTGTGCAACTTTATAAAAATATTCTTGCTGTCACCTGGAAACAGTGATGTTCTCATGAAAGCTACAGTGTTGTTTTTTTCTGCTCATACTTGCTTTGTAGCACAAAAAGTGTTCTTTCTCAAATTTACAATATTTAAAATTTATAATGAAATTTACAATAAACTTGATACAAAATGGACACTTAACCTTCACAAATTATCAAGGTGAAAAATAGCCTGTAACTGTATAATATGGTACAGCAGGGGAAAAAATTGGGAGTGGAATATTCAAAAGGTTTTTTGAAAAGATATTGGAAAACAGCCAAACTGTTGCATTTTTGTTGTTGATTTCTCAGTAGTCAGACTTGAGAATGCCCACTTTTTAAAATACCTGTCTATGTATTGAAAGATTGTATGTGTTTGAGATGTATATTTCAATTTTTAAAATCTTGCTCCTCACTAAAACTCTGCACTCTTTAGACTGAATACTTCAGGTAGCACAGAAGGATCCATGTCTCCTCTGAAGGCCTCCAAAGTGATGGCAGTTAATTCACCATCTGCAGAAAGAATAAGCAGAATTCCCACATCCTCAGGCTCTAACCTTAAAAGGTTTTTTTTTCTTCTTCTCATTTTGGTACACATAATTACTGTATACTACAATGGTTTTCACCACATATGCAGTCTATAAAGCACTTGCTCTTCTTGCGTGTAAGAAGGGTTAAATTCACTCACAAAGATGAGTTCCACTACCCAAACTTTAGTTGCCTGCAGATTTAAAACCAAACAAAATCCAAAACATGAATTGTGAGAGTTTTGATGGGATTATATCAAGTCAGAAATAGTATTAGGTTGCTCAGTTTGTGGTGTGTGGTTTTTTTTTTGTGTTGGTTTTTTTTTGTTTGTCTGTTTGTTTGTTTGTTTGTTTTTGTTGTGTTTTTTTTGTTTTGGTTTTTTTTACTCATGAATTTATTCAAAATTTTGCAAGTATTCCCACAAGTCTATTAATTTCAGAAGAATACTGAGTGGTAATTAATTTTTATGAACCCTTGATTTATTGCTACTTAATTCCATTATTACTATTGTACCAAGTAATTATGGATGCTAAATGAAATTTAGAATTATGCATTTTTAATAACTTCTGGGCACATATATTTACTTGAAGAAAATAACTGACTTTAAATATAGGGTGTCCTGAAATACCTTTTTCTCAAATTTTATCATATTGCTTCTTGGTTACTTGAGGACCTGTATCACATTACTGGTTTCAAGAAACAGAAGAGGACTTCTTAAACTGTTACATGTACACAAAGTACTTCAATGTAGATCAGGCAGAGCCTAAACCTTTTAACACAATCTCCTGCATGTGCATATGGTCTGACAGAGGTGAAAGCTGGCCATGGTAGTGCTTGAATAAACAAAGTTTGGGAACTCCTGACAAAGAATTCTGGTTTTCGAACCTCTGTGCAAACACAAATTATTTCGGAATGGTCTGTTATTATCTAAAATCTTCTGAATTGTCTGTTGTTTTTTTATACATCTGTACATACCTTGTGTGTATTTTTCCCCCCCCGCATGTGTTTTCCATTCAGTGTTTCCATAAGCTCCAGACTAGCCAGTTCTCTAGGGAACCTGTATGCTGCTTCAGATGATGATGAGAGCAAAATGACATCATCGTCCTCTAGGACAGGTTTTTCTGTAAGCCAAATCTCCAGCAACTTGAATGGCAGCTTGCAGCTGCCTCGCAGAAATAACCATGAACTGAACAACAACTTATACAACAGAAACAGCACTAGTGGCAACAACCTGAGCAGCCAAACCAGTTTTCACAGCGCCACGACAGATGAGTACGCATCAACCTTCCTTTACGGGCCTTACAACTCCTCCAGCACAATACCAGACTCAATCAATTCCTGTAAGTTCATAGTCACAACAGCACTTTCAGGCATCTGATCAATGTTTATCAATGCTTATCTTCCTTGCTTCTGTGAGCAAAGCTGTCACAAAAAAAAATCTTAACCCAGCATAATTTTCTGACTTGCTTTAATGTTTCTGAGCAGCACCTTTGTCTGTTACCTTTTTAAGTAATTATCATTTCAGCTGCTTTATTTCCCATCTCTTTCAAGCATTAGATCATGGAGGGTTCACAAAAATAAATTGCTCTTGAACTTAAACTAACACCTTTTCTGATATCTTTTTTTGTGGACCTGCTTACCCTTTAGACTTTTTTTTTATTTCAAATTATCCATAACATAGTTTATAAGTTTATGTATCTTAATCTTCATGCAGTAACAGATTTAAAGAAGCCTTTGTATGTATCATACTAAATGGAAGGTACAACATTCTTAAAGATAGGGCTCATTTGAAAGATGAATCAACTAGACTTGAAACCAAGTCCTTTTCTAATACCAAATATGAAAATTATTTTAGAGAAAGATATTTCTGATGGACTCACCATTTTAGTTTTCATTCCTCAACAACTTGGGCTTATTTTGTGCCCTTTTTCTGTATGAAAGAGTCTATAAAAAGGATGCACGGATAAATTAATGCAACTTGAAAGTGATTCTATACAAAATTCAGAGAAGAGAGTAGAGAAACTTCAGTTATGAAATCTGAAATAAGTTCAGCTATTTTAGGGAAATAATAAACATATTTACTACTATAAATCCAAAACATGTTTAAAATATGTGGTTTCCAAAGATCTGATATCTTACTAATTATAAAAATTAGTGCAGTGTTTTTAATAGAATATATTGCCTACAATTAATTAGACCTGTCAGCCTTTGTTTAGTAGTACTGACACTTCAGATTTTTATTTTTTTAGCTGCTGGAAATAAAATTACCTTCATATAAACTTAACTTCAGAATATTACACTTTCTGTTTCTTTGCCACTGATAAATTGTTTCCGTACAAAGAAAGTTTTAGTGTTATACCTGCTATTGTTTTTGAGTGTGATGAGTCCCCCCTCTTAAAACAGCTAATACACACAGTGTATGTAACTAGGATGTCAGCCAAAAAGATCATTCGTGGCTTGTGTTCTTTTCTTGAAGAAGTGGGGGAATCTACCCTCTTGTTAACGTGGCAGCCCTTACAGTTCGGAAGCCACGTGTTTATATCTTGAGAGTATGAGTTGCACTTTATGAGGATAGATGACAGTAGGAAATAAATTCTCACTGTTCTATTGTGGAATAAAGTTGCATATGTGACTGAAACCTAACTAGTACATGAAGTACACTGAAAATTAAGTTAGTTGAGAGAACTTAATTCTGTATTCCCATAAATTTAATAGATACTTCCACTGAAAAAGGAGTAGAGTAACGGTGCTAGGATGTGCTTGACCTAAAGCAATGCTTTCAGACACCTTGTTTGAAAGTACATTTAGCTTCTTATCCGCTACAGCTTATCTGGAAATAAATGTTAATATTCCATGATTTTAGGATCACTAAGTGTCTCCATTGAGTTTAAATTTGAGTTTAAGCTTTACTTTAAGCATCAGCAGTAACTTATTTGCAAGGGAAATCTTGAATATTGCCACATGCTTTCAAGTTTTTGAAATTGTTTTACGTCTTTAATTTGGCTGTGTTTTTACTTGCTACATGGGATTGAGGTAAACTATGTATAATTGAGATTTTTCTCAAGTTGGATATAGAAACTAGCCCAGTTTTCTTATGATGAAACCAGTTCTAGAACAAGACAACTGTTTTAGTTTAAGTAACTATTTTGGTTTAATTACTCCAAGTGTAAAGATGAGAAGTGAAAAGCTGTGTAGCAAGCCGAGGATGTTTGATTTGAGATACATCCATGAGTGTTGCTTCTTCATGAATTCTGATGGTTCTGGAAAGTCAGCTCTTTTAGGTGTTCCCAGTCTTTTATCCAACATGGTTACAGAAGTTCAGTCCTTAGGAGGACTGACAGAGGTTCCAGTTGAGTATACTAGAACTGAAGTCAATACACCAACAATAGTAGAGAGCACACACTCATCTGAATAACTACGTGGTAAAGTGTCTGATATCTTTTTTTAATTTCTCACCTTCAATATTGTCTCATACTTAATGTATTTGAACATTAATGCTCTAGAAAATCAACCCATCCCCATTCTTTTCTGTTGTACCTTCTATAAATTATATGCTGCCAGCAGCAATTCCTAGAGGTTTTTTCCATATTCTACTTACAGCTGTGTATTATGCATAAATATGTAAACCTCCATGCAGAGCCCTAAGGGGCAGAAACGCCTTAACTTGTAGTGTAACTCGGTCATGAAAATAAGCTGATACTGTTCACAATAGGCCAAAAGTTACAGCAGTACCAAATGATAACATAAACTGTTACAGAAACAATCAGCACGTTTCTTCAAACAGCTTAAAAGGTTGAATGAAACTATAATATCTTAAAAACTAAGAATTGTTGTCACCTTTGGAAAGGTAGTTGCCATACCTTTATGCTACAACTAAAGCTAGTGGGCTTGTTCCATAAGCATAGGCTGAGAAATTAAGTAATGGTTGACATTTTTTCTTTTTTGTGTCTAGATATTTACAGAACTCTAGGTTAGCACTATGTTTCTATTTATTCTTGTAAACCCTCAAGGTTCAACATAATGGAATTGACACAAATTCCCCAAATATATGTGGGCAGAGGGGCTGGGTTGACAATGCAACTGTCTCTTCTAGTATTGTAGCACACGTTTCCTTCTTAGATAAGGGTGACTAAAATACTTAGGAAAAGGGAGAAAAGCGACGAATGTTGATTACTGCTTAACCTAAGGAAGAGGAGAAGAGCAATTTGTGCACAGGTGAACAGCCATCTTGACATTAAAGAGGGACAATAGCTATGTGCATCTTAGTAAAAAGGGGAATGAATTGTTCCCTTGCAATAAAACCATTGACTTAAAACAGTGATTTAAATGAAGTATGTTAGGCATAGTATGAAGTTTTAGGTTGATTGGGAAACATTTTTGCAGAAAAAAGTAACTTTCTAGAATGCATGTTTCTCCTGTTTTAAGAACATTTTTAATCTTACTACCTATCTTAATGACTTAGTAATGCATGGAAGGATGTAAGGGTGTTATCTTTGAACAATTCTTGGCTTTATATCATTTGCTGATTAGGAGTAGAGGTTATACACAGTCATGTTTAAATGAGATGCTATATCCAGTCTTCTCTGGAAGAGTGAGGTGAGAGAAAAAGGATTTTATATATTGTGATGTGAGAAGCAGCATTTCTTGGAAAGAATCATGCCATGCAAAATCTATGTAGCAAAATACAGGTTTCTGACATCTGTAAAATAATCTTATTTCAATATAATAATAGTTTAACTGCTTTCCTGCTTGGAAGATGTTTTTCAAATGTCCTGAATGTTGCATGTGCTTCTAAATATACCATATGGCCCTGTGCATCTATCATAATCACAGTGGAGCACACTAAATTGTTACCTGTTTTATGTACAATTGACTAAGTTTAGTGCAGTTACTGTGATGTCATGGTGTTTAAGACAAGAGTAGATTATTTGATCATTTAATCTCAGAATGCCTTTAATCTCTGATAGTGAACCTCTGATTTACTGGCTAATACAGATCCATCTTGATGGTGGTTTATTTTGAAGACAATATAATTTTTCTTGCTAATTGGTCCCACTGGTTGAATAGAGTCATGCTTAAAACCATTTCACTTCTAATCTGAAACTTGCTGTATCTCTTTGTTAAGTCACTTTTGTAGTCCTTTTATTACCTTATTTTCTTGTCATGAAGATATTTCATGCTAGTCATCTCAACTTGATTGTCTTTTGATAAGCTAAATTGGCTCAAAGATCCTTTTGGAAAGTATTCAAATACTTTACAGTTTTTGAAAATTCTTTTTCAAGATGTAGATGCAACACTCTAACATTTGTCTTCCAGGTTGAGAAAGCTGTTACTCGGTGCTGTCCTGCTTATAAATCTATAGCTTGTGTTAGCTTCTTTAACTGTAATGCATTGGGAGTTCATGGTGGGGGGAAGTTCTTGCCATTCAAGATACTGACTTGTATCTTAGTCCAATGTCCTGCATTCCTTGGGTTTTTTTATGTGGAACTCTGCATTTGGCTCTATAAAAGCATCCTTTTTTTTCCTCCCCTTTTTTTAATGGGACCAATTAACCAATCAAGGAAGATTGTTTTGTCTTACCACTGCAGCCACTAATATCTGCCTATTTTGCTTTTGATGATATTCATCAGTGGTCTTAAGCTCATGAACAAAATATGGAGTAGCATCAAGCCTTAATACCAATTCTGGCAGAATTCTGTTTAATGATTTCTACTTCAATGCTTTAGATTCTGGAATTACTTGGAAGTTTTATCAGCCAAATCTTACTCTTGTTGCAGTAAGTGTTTGTATTACATTGCACTTTTTTCTAATTGGAACACATCAGATAATGACAGAAGTCTATTACATATACTGGTGGTTATGTTTATTCATTTAACTTGTCTCATCAAAGCACTCTTGAAATGATATGAATTATATTCCTTTTCTTTTTATTAACAGAATCTAATTTACCAGAGTTAAATATCAAGCTAACCATCTGTAATTGTATAGGCACTCTATTTTAGAAAATAATCTATCACTTTTGTTTCTCTTTCTCAGTTTGTTGACTATCAACATCAGTGGTGCAGGAACATTTTAAGATGGTTAGGACAGTAAATTTTCAGTTCTAATTAATGTTCTTTAATCTCATTAGTGAGGAAATTGGGAACTTATTTTTATGCAATGCAAGTACATCTTTCTCTTGCGTACTGGGGGGAGAAAAAAGTTATTCAAGTTGTTATTATTTCTTCAATTTTGTAATGAAACATTAAAAAATTAATAATGTTGTTCCACATTCCATTTAAAACAAACTAAAATAACCATGATTATAGCTTCCTATTGTTGTCAGACACACATTTTTTCCTAATAGTTTTTGTCCTTCATCAGTGTAAGCTTTATAATCCACTTCCTTTTTACCATGTTTATGCTGTTGTATGCTGATGAACTAGAAGAAAAGTTTCTTTTCATCGAATAGAGACCTTGCCATTCTAGCCAAATAGATTATTTTATTTGCAAATTTTACACATTGGATGTTTTGATTAAACAGAACCTCTTGCAATTATAAGTTGCAGAGATATTCTTATTGAGTATAATCACATTTAAAGTACCACAATAAGATTTTTACTTTGTTCTTACAGTAATTATGAATCCAAATAGGACTCTTTAAAATGTATTTTTATTGAAGAGTATGTAACTGGGTAGTCTTAAGATGAGTCACCTTTTGCTTCTATAGCTGCCATGGAAACTGGCAAGATGGAAAAATTTAAAAAAATTGAGAAGTGTAGCAGTATTTTAAAAATCATATACATGATCTTTATTCTTGTAGCATTGTTTTTCTTAATAAGAACTTACCACTAACAAAGATAGGACAGCCTTTGCAAAAAGAGAGACAAACAATAGTGCATCTTACTGATCTGTAAGTACAGAAGAGTCAGAGGACTGCCTCAAGTGCATATGAATTTTTTATAATATATCCTGATTTATTTTAGTAGATCTTGTGTACTCACAGTAATTCTTGCCTGCTGCAACACTCCTGTTGCAACAGTGTTTTGGGAGAGTTGATGCACAATTCAAAAAACTTTAAATTAGTTTTTGAAATTATCTGGAAAAAGTGCATGTTCAAGTCCTAACAGATAGCCCTAAGTGCTATAGGGTTGTCCCCTCTTAAAAGTTAACTCACCACTGACTTGGTCCTGAAGTTGAACGCATGTGAATACGGTTCTAGTGCTTAGATAGATCTGTGGCTTATTTTTGCTTCCAAGAGGCTTTACGTGCCTCCTGTTGAATAGTAAAAATTATAGTGATCTAAGCAGTTGCTTCAGCATGAACTTCAGTAGATATCATTAACTGTAATGAAGTGATTTAATTCTTATTTCTTTCTTTAAATGTCTTATACTTGGGTATAAAATGCCAAGCTTGACACTGCATGGGACCACTGTAAGAGTACACACGGAGATTTCTATTCAATTAACTGATTTTATACTCTCATCATTGCAATTCAGCAGTCAATTTCCTTTGTTTTTTTCCTTCTATTTTTACCTCTATTTTAAATAAGATTTTGTTAAATACCAGCATATGTATGTGACTTGCAAAGGTGGATTGGGCTTTTTGTTTTTAATAAACCTTTCAGAATCATAGGCCATACTTCGAGTCACTGCCAACAGGATATAGGAATGTCAATTTTAAAATGGAAAACTTCTTGAAAGATTTTAAAAAAAAGTAACAATTACAGGCTTTGAAATATTACAGTCAATCTCTTTGGACAATGTGAAGACATTTAAAAACACAAATTACTTAACTGCAAAAGAAAAAAAAAAAAAAACAAAACCAAAAAATCCCACACCAAACAAAAAACCTCCCCACCCTCCCCAGCTATAATATAATTTTTCAGGCTCAAAATTAGTCTGCATACTTTACAACAGCTCAGTAGTTATGGATATCACTGCGTTTTCAGTAATAGGAACCTTATGGGAAGTCACATCAATTAATCTTAATCTGGAAAAAATGCTGCTTTGATATAATTCTTTCCTGTATTCAGGAAAGGCTTTGAAACATTAGGAAGAAGTCATTGCTATGTGAAGTAGAGCTATGGTGAGAGTGAGAACACTGAAAAACATATTTCACAATTTGAAAATAAATAAACCCTGTCTACCCATCTGTAATGAAAATTAACAAAACATGCTATCTTGTTTCCAAGCAATCTGTGCTGCATGGATATTTGTTCTTTTTATATGTTGCCATTAATTTTTCCATATTTCTGTAAGTTGGATTCCTAATAATTTTAAGAATTTCAGTTTAAACTTCAGAATCTTTAGTTTATGGTTTGCTTGTTTATTTAAATTATAATGTAGACTTCATGGTTACTACTGTCTGCTAACTAAAGGGCTGCTCTTCATAGTCCTTTGTCAACTAATGCTAGCTGTTCCCAAGATCACCAAAAGTGTACAGTGCTTTCTGGCCATCTTTCATCTGTCCAAGCTTAAAGTAATCTGTTACTTTAGTACAACATATGAGAGTATATAATTAATTTTCATAATTTGTTAATCAACTTTATTTGGAATTCTGTTTTGAAGGATCCATTTCAAATACTGCTCTAGTTAAGTGCAATCATCTTTCTGATTCTTAAAATACACATCTGAAAATGAGAAAGCTTTGAGGATCATTGAGAGCAGAAGTTTCCAGTGCTCATTAATGAAGGGCTATTCTTTCTGCCTCACTTATGCACATGTGATAAACAGCTTGACAAATGCCCTCATCAAAGCTAATAATCCAGAATGATTATTACAGAACAGAGTGGGGAAGAATAAGCTTCTATGATTGTGTATTCCATGATGACTCTGAGCCTATAATGAAAAAAATACTTGTTACATTCATTTAGTTCTACAGTAAAGTATTTTCTAGTAAATGATACCCTTCATATTGTGAATCCATTCAGTACTAAAAACAGACCCTTTTTAGTCAGTGGTATTCAAATCTTTATATGCTGACAGCTCTTCTTTCAACCTAGGAAAGAATATCCCAGATGGTCTCAGATCTTAAAGATGTGAAAATGCATTTAAAAGACAACTTTGGAAATATACACTGACACTTAAGATATAGGAAAAAAGTGGCTTTGTGATATTAATTAGAGCTCTAAACATCTAAACAACATAGTGCATCTATTATGCACTTCTAATAGGTTTCACTACGGATGCCAAAGAACATTTCTATAGTGACTAGTTAGAAATAGTGGGGAAAATGGAAAAGATGACTCCAAGGTTGTGAGCTTTCTTGGGATTCATGTTGTTCTCCAGTAGTTCTCTCTAATTCTGATTAATTGATGCAGTTTTAAAATATGGTTTGGGTTTTTTGTTTGTTATTTGTTTATAACCATACTAGTACAGCAAAGAGCGCTCTCAGATAAGACTCTTTATTCATCAAAACGACTTCCTGAACACATCTGTATAGGAGGTAATAAAAGGTTTGGATGCTATCTAAAGTGATTAATTACTTTATAATAAACCTTCAACTTCAGTAGAACCAAAAATGTAAATAAATAGAGTAGACAAGGTTATGCCTTCCTCTTAATTGTACTGACTGCTTGCTAATCCAGGTGAACAATTTGCAGGGCTTCAGTTTCATCTGGTTTTAGTAATCATAGATAAATTTACTCATGTGCATAATAGTACTACTGTAGCTTTTTTCTCAGTAATTAGCTACAAGCTATATGTTTCCTATGTCATTACCTGAATCAACATCTAAAGTATCCTGTATTTTTTACAGTAGCACTTTGATTCTCCTTCAGGATAAATGGAAACAATTCAATTATAGTAACTGCAATCATACGTCTTTTCAACATGTTTTTAAGGTATTGTTTTGAGGTGGTGTTTTAAAGGGCTTTTAACACTTTCTTCAGGAATCTGTAAAATTTGTTTTGAAAAGTAACTGTAGATATAGGAAGGCTGATGGACTTATCCAGTTTTTTAGTTTCTTCTATTTTATTCATCTTTACCTATGCAGAGATTCAGATCCCCTCCAACTCTCTGTTCATTTTTCTTCTTCCTGTCCTTCCCTTACTCCCTATCCTTAAGTGCAAAATGCATATTATATACAAGTATAACCTCCCCAGTGAGTTTTAATCAGTTTTTCTTCTCTGCACAGTCCCTTCAGTCTGAGTATGTTCAGTAGTAAAGCCTTGCTGCTTTGGTGAAACCTGTTGAGCTCTTAAAATCGAAGTCCTTCATGAAGGAGAAGAACCTAAGGAAGGAAGCTGCTCACTTGGAGGAGGAATCTTCAATAGAAGACATTAAAACCTTAACACCAAAATGAGACTTCTTAACAGGCAGAAATTTCTTGGTAATGACTACTGCAGATGCACTGATGTTGAATTTATGGAAATTATTTTACCCCATATTATATACAGATTTAAATTTTTAATGTTGAGACAGCTTGAATATATTTCTGAGTTTCATTAAGACATTTATTAACTTGTGTACAGTGTTAAAATATGTATTAAGAGAATATTTTGGTAAACAATATATATAAAATTATGTAAAAATTAGAATATATTTTAATTTAGTGGTGTTCACTTTGCTACGAAAGTGTATTTTAAAGAATTTTTATGTGCTTATTGAAGATGAACTTTTTTAATGAACAAGATGTTTTTCTTGTTTTATGGGTCCATCGTTATTGCTAAAAGCCTAATGTAATTACTTTTTCACTAATCAGTCTTCTAGTAACTTATTGGAATTCTAACTAGTAAGAGACTAGTTATCACACTGTCCACTGAAAGCACTTGATATAGATAGTTTGCTTTCCACTTCTAGCTGCTAGTAAGGAAAGGTTTCATAAGGAAACACTATGAAAGAAAAATAAAGGGAAAATATTTGTTGAGATGTAATATAACTTACATCTTCCATTGCAAAGAGAAAGTAATTTATCTGATTAAATTGTACAATTAATGCTTTCTTTCAGTTTGTCTTAAAGGAATGTTTTAACTTTTTTCTTTTCAATGTAAAATGTTACATTTTGCTATGCAATATATACTGCAAAAATGAAGGCAGACCAAACTTAAGTTGGTAAGAATGTGTACGTACAATGAATTTGGCAGTGCTGCATACTTACATATCTTTAACCTACATTTGGCAGTATGTGTACAGTTTCATTAGCAAAGCATACTAAAGTAAATGTTGGAAGTATATTAAATTTCCACTTATCAATTTGATGCTTCATAAACTTTTTAATTTGAAAACTGTTGTTACACATACAGGTAATGTAACTTCCTGTATCACAGAATGTTTTTGTCAGTGGTAAAGATGCTCTTTAATGTATAGTTTAATCAGTGTGATTAGGAATGAGACTTGGAATCAAGTCGTATTACAGTGAAGTACTAGAGATCGTGTGTAAAATTTACAGAGCTCCACAAGTGCATAGTAAACAAAAAAAAAAAAGCAGCTGTGAGGACTTGATTTGCCACTAATTTAGAAGACAAAAACAAAACAGACTTTTTACCTGTAAGTTTTTCTGATATCTATGAAAACTTGAAAATAAAACTTGGTTGAATCGTCAGTCTTTGTTCCTGAAGACTTGTGAATGCCCGGCATTTGCTTTACAACTGAAATTAAGATTAAGTGCCACATTATTTTTTTTTAGTACCAGATCACAAACTGCTTGGAGAGTTGTACTGAAAGTGTTAATCAATACTGCGAGCAGCTATATAAATCACTGAATAAAATTTACATGCAATAATGCTTTCACAACTGTGTATATGTAACATATACACACACGAAGTAGCATATGTGTGTGCGTATATATACAATATACTGTATATGAATTATAGATTAATGGTAAGGTAATTCTACCTCTTAGAAAGAATTTTGTCATGTACTTTGTTATAAATAGTTTTCCTTAATAAAATACTGTTTCATTTTGAAATGTTGAGATATATATACACATACAGCTAATTAATAAAATGCCTATATCATCCAGCTTCCTTGATTCTTGGCTTTTCTTGCTTAGATCTTTTGATGTAAACTAATACAATTAGATCTCTAATTGAAGCGTAGCTTTTCAAAAATCACCTTTCTTCTAAAGCATGTAATGCATTTATAAATGATGTTGCAAAAAAACATTAGTGTGACAGGTATCAAACTGATGTCTGTAGCTAACCTTCTTGTATGTGCTTTGTATAACATCAAGTGTTGATATTATGATGTAAAGGTTATCTTTCAAAATACCATACTTTAAAAGTTGTGTCTGAATTGAGGAAACTTTTTTCCTGATAAGGGCCCTTGTTAAAGGTGTAACACACCTTGTCTTTTTTTGCATGTGCAACAGGTTTCTTAGTCTCACTGATAGTAGGCTCTTTGTCCATAAGAACCTAAAAGCTCATGCTTTCCTTTAGCTTTTCATCCTTTAATTAAAAACTAGTCACAAATAATTCTAACAATACTTAACTCTGCTGATTTTCAGAAAATTTGTTGTTTGCATAATTATTTATCCACGGTGCTTAATATTCCTGTCAGATAAGGCTGTACTGCAAGAGATGATGTGGAGTGTATGTAACTGTTACACAGACACTAAAGGAATGGTAAAGCCAGGAATAGAGCAGATGCTTTAGAAGTTGCCCAAATTCTAATGACAGTCTGACCTAAAACCACAATAGAAGCCTTCTGTCACTACATTCAGACACAATGGATGTTCATTGGGATGTGTAGAATAAATATAAAGGAAGAATGACTAATTTAAATGTTTCTAGTACAGAAGCATCAACCTCTCCCTTATCCTTTTTCTATTGATTTATTATACAAAATACAGTAAATGCTAGCTAATGTACAACCCATTTTTTTGTTCTTAAAAATGAATGATAAATATAGACAGTATTCTGTAACAATCAGCTTCTTAACAAGTTTAAGGACAGTGAAAGGTCAGGGAGGTCTTTAGAACACTGTAGCTTTTAAGAAATACCTTGAAATTTTTTTCATATCTTCTGTTCACTTATCCTTGAACTTTACCATTTCTGTTGCTTCATATATCTCCTTGTTCTGGGAGAACAAGCTGTAGCACATGAGATCTTTAAAAAGAGGTTTGATAAACATGTAAGGATGGAAATAAATCTAGAGGTCTCTACAGGGCCTATGATTGTGTGGCTAATGCCTTATGAAACTGTTAATCATCTCTTTAAAGTATGCTTTATGGAGCTTTTTGGTTAGGGAGATATTTCTTGTTACAGATATAGAGAATATTTTTCAATTACAGTACTGTAGAAAGAGGAGGATTTTAGTTTCTGTAATAACTGTTCTCTACTGACAGCTAAACAATGAAAGGCCTCAAAAGGTTTGACACTTGATTAGATCTACACTGTAAAGTGCAGCAGGCAAAAAATATGGTAATTAAGGGCCTGATCAAGTAAATCACTCAGGTATGTCTTTAACCTTAAGCACATGAGCAATCTAATTAATTAAAAAATAAGATAGATGTTCGTGTTTGTAACAAATCAACATTTGGATCAATAGTCCTATCAATTGCAAACATGAGCCTTTCTGTCAAATAAAAGGTGTGTTATGTTGCAACAAAATAATCCATTGACCCACACAAATGAACTTCATTATTGTAAAGAATTGATACTGTAACTATAATTACATCCTAATATATTATTTTGGTATTGTCATTTGTTAGCATTGTGAGTTTAACAATATCTAAAAACACCTTATAAAGATACCCTTGGTCAATATACAGGTCATACCTTATGAGCTGAGATTGCTTACTTTTATAGGCCACATGTAACTCAGCTGTAAAAGCAGCTTTTTTCCTAAACTCACCACAAAATTAATCAGCATTCCTTTTCTGAAAAGCTGTTGAGAGGAAATGCAAGTTTTTACTCAGTTTCTTATTAAGTCTTGTCTAAGGTAAGGTGAGTTAACATTTTGTCCCTGTTTGAGTAAAGCACTGTAGAGTTCCTGGGAGAATCCCACTACTAAGTCTTCTCCATTTGGGAAGGGACTGTTAAGCCTTACTCTTCAACCAGCTTTTAGTCTGCCTAAGAACCTGTCGTTCACTGCAGGAACTTGCACTCTGAATTAATTTTGGTGCGAGACCATTTCAAATGCTACGCTGATTCTATTTTATCTGTGTGCTTGCTGACACCAGCATTCATCTCCGGCAGGTTGGTGATGCAAGATTTCCTGCAGCCTGAGACAGGCAGAGTTTTTCTGAAGAAATGTAGAATACGTAGATTGAGGACCAGCTTCCTCCGAGAAGTCCTGTCTTACCAAGGATCTGTATATTCTGTTTGAAAGATTTAATTTGGAAAGTATAGTGTTATTATAGACCAGTTCTAAAATTAACTTCAAGCTTGCAGAAGCGTAGTGTGCTTTCTCTTAACAAAAATAAGATCAGAAAAAATCCATTTAAGTATCTAGCAGAGGAGTTTCTACAGTAAATGGATTGTATTTCAGACAGAAGTGACTGATACTGGTTTGAAAGCTTGCTGCAAATGAAAGTTGTGTAAATGGGTTAGAACCAGGAAACTGGTAAGGCAAAAAGAGAGTCAGACTGTAGTTGCAGTATTTCTGGAGCGTGATGAGGTTTGGGTTTTTTTTCTTCTTGATTTAACAAGTTGAAAATCTGCTGAATAATTCATGAAGAGTGGAAGGGCTGAATCTTCCTGGAATGATATACAGTGTACGTACTGTGGCACAGGAGAAACTGCAAAGCTTTGTATCGGTTGCTGCCGTTTCTGCTGCCGATTGCAAGGTGCTGCTGCTTTTGGCATTTTTACAGCTACAGACTCCTTAGTCGTGCTCTGGTCTGCTAACAGCTATCTGCTCCCTATGGACCCACCTTCGCTAGCTATAATCTGTGGGATCTCTTGCTACTTACCTGCCTTGGACATTGCTGTTCTCTGGATCGTTATTGCAAACTGCGTTTTCTGGACCTTGCAGCTTGTATGACTGAAACCAGCCTTAGAGTCCCTCGGCTGCACATCCTCCCTTGTGCTCGGTGGGGGACTCCTGCAGCAGGACCTTCTGACCCAGACAAGGATGGGATTTGCAGGGAGAAGTCAAAACTGAGCTGCATTCAGCGAGATGCCCAACGCCTCTTCCTGGAGTGCTAGCTCGCCTCTGCTGCTGCTCTGGGAGGACTCCTCTGGGACCCGCATCTTCCTGTCGCTGCTCTATGCAGTCTTAGCTATCTCAGGGACTTTATCCAATGTGATGGTCATCTATTTAGTCTTCTCCTTCAAGAAGCTGCAGACAACCAGTAATGCCTTCATCGTGAACGGCTGTGCGGCGGACCTAAGCGTGTGCGCCCTGTGGATGCCCCAGGAGGCTGTGCTGGGGCTGCTGCCCCCCAACTCGTCCTCCCTTCGCTCGGTGGAGTACAGGCTGCTCCGCGGGGGGCTCCTTGGCCTTGGCCTCACCGTCTCCCTGGCCTCTCACCTGCTGGTGGCCTTCAACAGGTACGTGCTCATCACCAAGCTGCCCAGTGTGTACCAGGCCCTCTACCAGCGGAGGCACACGGGCTGCATGATCGGGATCTCTTGGGCCCTCGCCCTGCTCCTGGTCCCGCTGCTGCCCGGGCTCT